TTCACGGTAAACGCTGCATATGTCGGCTCAATCTAAAATTACCTTTACATTTCAATCGCGCTACAGCGATTGAGAAGGACTCAGAGTGCCAGATAATTGCTACGATTTAATAGATCGTCTAAAGAACACCAACAGTTTTTAGTTTTTAGGCATTTAGGCTAATTGTTACATTCTTCTCCATTCAAATTGCAGGTCCAGCAAATGGTTTATGTGCACCCTGCTATCCATTCTACTAGTTTATATGCATAGCTGTGGAAAAAAAAGTTGATGTGGAGCTCTGTGTTTAATGTTCTGATGTATGTGTGTGTAGCTACAGTGTACTGGTTAATGTGCATAGGTGAGTACAGTGTAAAAACGATAATGTGAAGTGCTGTATACAATGTAGCTTACTGACTTATTACGTACAGTGAGGGAAAAAAGTATTTGATCCCCTGCTGATTTTGTATGTTTGCCCGCTGACAAAGACATGATCAGTCTATAATTTTAATGGTAGGTTTATTTGAACAGTGAGAGACAGAATAACAACATAGAAATCCAGAAAAATGCATGTCAAAAATGTTATAAATGGATTTGCATTTTAATGAGGGAAATAAGTATTTGACCCCTCTGCAAAACATGACTTAGTACTTGGTGGCAAAACCCTTGTTGGCAATCACAGAGGTCAGACGTTTCTTGTAGTTGGCCACCAGGTTTGCACACATCTCAGGAGGGATTTTGTCCCACTCCTCTTTGCAGATCTTCTCCAAGTCATTAAGGTTTCGAGCCTGACGTTTGGCAACTCAAACCTTCAGCTCCCTCCACAGATTTTCTATGGGATTAAGGTCTGGAGACTGGCTAGGCCACTCCAGGACCTTAATGTGCTTCTTCTTGAGCCACTCCTTTGTTGCCTTGGCCGTGTGTTTTGGGTCATTGTCCTGCTGGAATACCCATCCACGACCCATTTTTAATGCCCTGGCTGAGGGAAGGAGGTTCTCACCCAAGATTTGACGGTACATGGCCCTGTCCATCGTCCCTTTGATGCGGTGAAGTTGTCCTGTCCCCTTAGCAGAAAAACACCCCCAAAGCATAATGTTTCCACCTCCATGTTTGACGGTGGGGATGGTGTTCTTGGGGTCATAGGCAGCATTCCTCCTCCTCCAAACACGGCGAGTTGAGTTGATGCCAAAGAGCTCGATTTTGGTCTCATCTGACCACAACACATTCACCCAGTTCTCCTCTGAATCATTCAGATGTTCATTGGCAAACTTCAGACGGGCCTGTATATGTGCTTTCTTGAGCAGGGGGACCTTGTGGGTGCTGCAGGATTTCAGTCCTTCACGGCGTAGTGTGTTATCAATTGTTTTCTTGGTGACTATGGTCCCAGCTGCCTTGTGATCATTGACAAGATCCTCCCGTGTAGTTCTGGGCTGATTCCTCACTGTTCTCATGATCATTGCAACTCCACGAGATGAGATCTTGCATGGAGCCCCAGGCCGAGGGAGATTGACAGTTATTTTGTGTTTCTTCTATTTGCGAATAATCGCACCAACTGTTGTCACCTTCTCACCAAGCTGCTTGGCGATGGTCTTGTAGCCCATTCCAGCCTTGTGTAGGTCTACAATCTTGTCCCTGACATCCTTGGAGAGCTCTTTGGTCTTGGCCATGGTGGAGAGTTTGGAATCTGATTGATTGATTGCTTCTGTGGACAGGTGTCTTTTATACAGGTAACAAACTGAGATTAGGAGCACTCCCTTTAAGAGTGTGCTCCTAATCTCAGCTCGTTACCTGTATAAAAGACACCTGGGAGCCAGAAATCTTTCTGATTGAGAGGGGGTCAAATACTTATTTCCCTCATTAAAATGCAAATCAATGTATAACATTTCTGACATGCGTTTTTCTGGATTTTTTTGTTGTCATTCTGTCTCTCACTGTTCAAATAAACCTACCATTAAAATTATAGACTGATCATTTCTTTGTCAGTGGGCAAACTTACAAAATCAGCAGGGGATCAAATACTTTTTTCCCTCACTGTACATAGTGTGGGTGTGTACCTTCATTGTACTGGTTTATGTGCAAAGCGCTACACATTGTACTCCATGGTATATTTGCATAGCTTAGTACAGTGGAAAAAGGTTTATGTGGACTCTGGTGGACTCTTATGTGGACTCTGAGTAAGTGATGTCTATGCTGTAGGTGTGTAACTACAGTGTGCTGGTTAATGTGCACTGACATTTACAGTGTAAAGGTTTATGGGCAGAGGTGTGTACTATGATTCATGATTTATGTGTACTTCATACTGCAGGCTGGTACAGAGTAATGGTAAATTAAGAGGTGTACGGGTCATGTTTTATATGAACAGTGTAAAGGTGAATAAACAGTAGGAAGGTTTATGGGGAAAGTGTTAAGGTTAATGTGCTGAAGTGTGTGCAGATTAAAAAAATGTGCATGTATACAGGTGTGTACAGTGTTCAGGTATATAATCTAGTTCTAGTCGACTTAAGGTGCACTGTCTAAAGAGGTAAGCACTGCATCTATTTTCTGTCAAGTGTTTTCCCTGCCATTGAATAAGCGGGGCAGGCCATCCAGCCTAGCTTTTCAGCCCCCCATCTAAGATAATGTGGTTTCTATTGGCTTCTGTCCTTGAGGTTGCTTTGACTTAAATAATAGGATGGGGAAAGACTGGTTCTGCACCGAACACAACAGTATGTATAGGTGTGTACAGTACTGAGTACTCTCTCTACCTCCCTGCCTCTCTCCCCTGTTTTGACTGGATTGTCCCCCATTGAAGGGATTCAGCTTAGCACCGCTGTAACCTGTTCTGGCACCACCCGAACTCTCCAGCCTCGCCGGTGTCCAAACTGATTTCAGTTTGAGAAGTGCGATGGCGGAAAGTAACAAGGGGTTACAACTACGCCCCGACTAATTAACTGGCTGCACATAGTGTCGTTCTGAAAGGCTGAGGCAGGCCAATAAAGAAAGGGTGGAGAGAAATAGGGAGGAGGAGGACAGAGGGGGGGAGGAAAGAGGTTGTGAGGGAGGAAGGAAGTTATAAGGAATGGATGATGAAGGCCAGGAGGGAGGGATGGATGGGGGAGGGAGGGACGGAGGTAGGGAGGTTATGAGGGAGGTTGGGAGGGAGCGAGGGAGTGGGGGGCACTCCTGCAACAAGGTATTGTCATCACAAAATATTTTATATGGTGTGAAACATAATACTTATTAGGATAGAACAGTTAAAGGTTGAAAAACAAAGACAATTCTTTTTTTCAAAGCACGTTTACAGTTTACAGTCAGTTTACAGTAATCGCGTGATTGTTGTGTCCACTTCTCTCCTTTGGCCTGATATCATCCACTAAAACAGCAACAACAGACAGAGATAGTATTACATTGACTCTACTCTAAATAGAGGGGTTCGGATTGCCGGGTTGATACAAACAATACAATATAATACCTCGTCAGGGAAAATAGAGACTGAACACGATGGTTTTCCCAAACACATGCACCGAAAAAGGGAAGTTGGCTAATCGTTAGTCATGCCCTTCCCATGAGTCCTCTCGTGACACGCCGTGTACCGTAATAAACTTGCTTAGCACTGAGAGTGGCTCCTAAATGAACAACCCTGTTCACCTGGCAGCCAAACAGTTGGTGTGGTGTCATGGCTATTTTCGGCATCAACCTGTTTGATGTAAGCATTGTTTATATCAAATGGTCGTACGGGCCAGATCATATTCTGCAAGCAACAGAGGGATAGACCTGCCAAGAGACAATGGGATTAAAGACTCGTCTCCTTGCTACTCTCATTCTATTTTTAGAGGGATTTCATAGGGGGAAAAGCAAGAATGAACGTGAGAGGCCTTCGTTACAATCAGGTTTTGAATGAACACACTGGAGTATCAATCATAGTGTAGTGGAAGGTTAAGGATACTTATTTTATATTTTAAGAAACATATGTCCCAGTGCAGGTGATGATATTACTTAGAGATAAACCCTCCGCAGGTTGCCTTTGTAGTGTGTAGTGGTTTGCTGAATGTAACACTTTAAGGGGTGGTTTCCCGGACACAGATTAAGCCTGGTCCAGGACTAAAAAGCGTTCTCAATTGAGATTCTCTTAGTCCAGGACTAAGCTTAATCTGTGTCCGGGGAAGCACCCATTAAAGTGTTACATTCAGCAAACCACTACACACTACAAAGGCAACCTGCGGAGGGTTTATCTCTAAGTAATATCATCACCTGCACTGGGACATTAATGGTGTGGTGGAAAGCTTTGAGTTTGACACATTAAGGACAAGTCATACAAACTATTCTTATGGTGAGAACCACATTATGATCTTGAGTGAGTGGTTCCCCTTTACTGAAAGAAACATTGGCTCTGGAGCCCCTTGATGATGTTGATGGTGATGTAATGGAGAGGACATCAGGAGTCCTTGGGGATCTCCTCCAATCACAAAGAAGCAAGGAGAGGAGAAGAACGAGATCCCACCATGATTGGCTGGGAGGCTCACCATGATTGGCTGACTCTCAGACAATCCACGGTCACCTACAGCACATTTCGCAACAAACCCAGACTGCACAGAGTAGGAGGTGGAGTTGCTTCAGGGCAAAATGGTGCGAAAAAACTCTCACAAGAATAAATGAGAACTGACCCAGTAAGAAATAGAGAGCCCACAAGCAGTCTACGCTAAAAGAAGACAGAAGGATGTTATTGTACATGCTGCGTGTGAAGTACGAGTACTTTCAGATTCTGCGCCAATTTGGAAATCTACACCAATTATATTTTATTTGAAAACCTCCACTTCCGTCCCAAACATACCATCCGCTCATTCACTCCTTTGAAAATTCAAGCTTCCAAGTCTCAAGGTACCCAAAAAACGAACGCATTGTCCCAGCACCGGTAATGCAAATGTCACCCAAACCCTGCCCCAAGCATTTTGTCCAATAACTACTGTTCTATTTATAGGAACCCCTGTTGATAGGCTACCTTGTTATTTTCTGGTCAGCACAGTGTTTTCTACCCAGATACACCCTGTTCTGGTGCTGCGCTGGGTCACATTTGTGTTTATGACAGCAACGTTGCGCTCCGACACTGAACACAGTGGAAAAGAACAGCAAACAATGAACCACAAGACATGACCTTCAGGGGGTCTGAACACTCAACCAGGACGCAATGCTGCCCCAACAACACTGATACAGCCAACACAGTCACGTTCAATCATACTGTATTTGTGAGGCTTGAGAGAGGGCATCAGACAAGGCCTACTGAGCCGAACCAAGTTGTAGTGAGCTGGCCTGATTTTGCATCAAGCATTGTTGAATCGTGCTAAAAAGGACAATGTGATAGGAAAATATACGAGCCAGCATAGTTTGGGTTGGGTGGGCACGATAATGTGAAAAAGGTATGGGTGAGGTTCAAAATGTATATCATGTGCGTTATAAACAACATATGATATATGCCAGTAGATACGTTACTGACAGACAATCATACCATTCCACTGTAGAGGAAGAAAATAACTGGATGTCTCTATGAATCTCATAAGTGATGGTTTTTTTTGTAGCCCTTTCCTGCACTCAAATGACCTAGTGGCCTCATGGGTGGAATGTTATTAATATTTTTCATAATTTCATAATTAATCAACATTATTTCAGAAAACCCACCTAAAATCCGGTGTTTCTTTATCAAATGGTTTTGTTATTTTTCAGTCTTCTGTGATGTATATAAAGTGTAATATTGGGATGCAAAATCAAATTTTAAAACATTTCAACACTATATCTGACATGGTACAGGTGTTTCCTTTTTTTAAAGTCCATAACCATGTGTGTGAGGTGTATACTTTTGTTTCAAATTAGACACGTTTAAGACTACCAAGAAACACTCTGTGTGACCCGGTTTTAGCCCACTGTAGTAAAAGGTTAAATGGACCTGGTTCAAGTGATTTCTTGAATGAACAGGAAAAGGATCAAATATGTTCTATTCTATTCTGTTCTACTATATGTTCTTGTCTCAGTAGAGCAGGCACAAATATATGCCATGGTGATAGAACTGTAATACCATATCATAGTAAAGCATGTTCACCGCTTATAGTAAGTCCATGCCTCACCTTGTCTACTTTCAATTAATAGCCCAGGCTTTTATTTGCTTCAATCACCGAACTAGAGCTGGGACGATAAACCGAAAATTATCGCCACCAACCATACCGGTATCTTGCTGATATCGTTCATTACAATAAGTAGCCTATACTAGAGGAATGTGAAGTTTGAAATGAAATAAGTTTGCTAATATGGGTGATTGTTAATAGGAAAACAGAAAGGAAAACGTTGCACACTGCTGCTCATGCTCCCAGGTGATATTTATTTATAACAATGTTCGACCCTTAGGTCTTCATCAGGAAATGATTGTTGATAGGACAATAGATGGCTACAAACAGTAGTAGTTTAAAGGTTAATTTTTTTAAACTGTGGTGCACATTCATGTTATAAACTTAACGTCCTATTTATCATTATCGCATCAATTCAGGCAATTTACCCCAATATGGATTTTTGTCCATATCGCCCAGCTATACACAACCGGTGCTTATTGGAGCCAGGCCTCTATTTCCTTAATGCACACAGCTTTTGCTCAATTAAATGTTGAAAAGACTACCACACTGTTTATTGTGACCAGTATGACCAGTATGAACATAATAACAAATCCATTGCAGATCAGACTTGCAAAGACTAGGCTGCTTATCATACACCCCCGATTTCATGCTTCAGCACCATTCTCTCACTCCTTGCGCCTCTTGTATGCATCGTAGATGAGCCTACCATGTCAAACCACACTGCTGTCTCATTCATGGCAATGATGTTGCTCTCCTTAATCTTCTTTTGCACAATCTTTATGGTACTCACTGAAGTTCACTTGTAAACAACTCATTTAGACCTGCCGTTTATTTGAAAAAGGCGTTTATTTGCTGAAATGTGTGCCGATTCACGGCTATTAAAAGGGACAGGTGACTATTTGAGATTCAGCGTTTAATTTTAGTTTTACGCTATTAGAATATCTATAAACACTGCATTCCGCAGAAATCTATTGTGTATACATTACCACTATTCCATTGACCAACTTGATTGACAAGCAATACAATCTAATTAGACCACAAATGATTCCAATCGTTAAAACACAGGTTCATAAACATATCAATATCTCCTTTGTTGTTACAATTTGTTGTTGAAAATGAGTTAACTGGACAAATTGTGACAAAACAATACCGTTAACAAGAATTCTATTGAGGTTATATCGAGTTGGGATCAAGGAATGTCAATTATGTGATGACACCGTGATTAATCGCACTGTGAAACTCAATCTCGAGCCATTAGGGATCAATAGAAGATGCTAAGTAGAATAATACATCACATCTAAACAGAGCCATATGCCTTCAATATTCAAACGAGTGGTAAAATATTCATATAAAATCACTTAAAAACAAAGCCTTCATTCATATTTAAACATCTTTAGATTTTAGAGGGGGCGAGAAGAAATACTGAATTGAAATGCAGACAAAAAGAGAAGATAATCAATCAAATATCGAGGCAGATTGTATTGCTAGAGCCTTCATTGAGGATGGAAGATAAATCCAGCACACACACACACACACACACACACACACACACACACACACACACACACACACACACACACACACACACACAAACACACACACAAACACACACACACACACACACACACACACACACACACACACACACACACACACACACACACACACACACACACACACACACACACACCTCCTAACGTCTACTTCTCTCCAGTGCTTCCCCCATCTCTGTCTCTGCCCTCCTCCCACTATATCTCTCCTTCCTCTCTCTCTCTCTACCCCTCTCTTTCTCTATCCCTGTACCTATGTATTCCCTCTCCATCTCTGCTGCTCCACCTTTCCCTCTTTCATCCTCCCCTCTCTCTTTCCGGTGCTCCCCCTCCTTTCTTTCCCTGTGTCTACTGCAGCAGAAAAGGCAGCACAGACAGCAGCGTGTGTGTGTGTGTGTGTGTGTGTGTGTGTGTGTGTGTGTGTGTGTGTGTGTGTGTGTGTGTGTGTGTGTGGCGCTACGTGTGGCGCTACGGTATATCCATGTGCCACATGCACTCATGAGCAATAAAAAAAGCTGCATGTTGAATGGTAGTATGAATAATGGCTCTGATCACAACATTGATCACTGATCATATGTAGCTCCGTAAGTTTAAGCATGTCACCCACATCTTCCGGTTTAAGAAACCGGGAGTGCCGGTCGGGAATCCATCCCATTCATGTGGTCTCCGCCATCGGCGAGGGCGCCCAATAGTGAGGCACTTCCTGTTACCCTACATTAAAGCCAATGTGGCCAAAGGGAAAGATCAGGTGACCCAATCCAGATTATATATCTATCTAACCCTGACACACAGCTCTTCCTGTGGTGAGACCAGATACTGGACGTGGACAGCTGAGTTGTTTCTACAGCCAGGTTTGACTGTACTAGAGAGAGAGATGCAGTGTGTGTAGGATAGGGTGTGTGTGTGTGGGGGGGGGTGGGAGGGTGGGGGGGGTATACAGTGCAGGTACTTGGATCTATACATGTTTGTGCTGCAGGTGTTGTTTTGTACATGGTCTGCCTGTGTTTCCATGTGCTGCCTGGCTACATACATGCATACAGTGTGTATGTGCCTAAAGAGGAGTGTTTTGCAGTGTAATCAACCAGGAAATGTGTCCTGTACTCAACATCAATAGGAGTGTGCATGATTTTTACCATATGCATGATTTTAACATCTTTATACACAAAGCAAACTATATGGCCAGCTAATTAGGCATAGCCTACATGTTATTTCCTAAGGGCATGTGTGGATAAAGAAACATAGCCTATTCGATCCAATTATTCAATCCATACATCTTCATCAAAACCCTGTATCATGGGGAAAATAGAAGATCATTATTCGTGTTACCCGTATATTATGCTATGTGTGACTTCTGCACTATCAAAGAGAATCAATCATCAAACAGTAAAAGCATTTTTACATTCCGCACCTCAGCTCTCGTTACTATTCGCTTGAGAACCAACTGATTCGAAACGAACGCAGCTTCTAGGAAATGGTTCTGAAAAGCGTGCGTAAAGGGGCTTTATCATAGCCTCGGACTGTAATGTGGGACAGATAAGCAAGCCAAAAAAGAGAATCACCCAGGGCAAATGGGGAAAAACGAAAAGAGGACTTGTTTTATGTTCAAGTTTCAAGGTCGGGTTAAGGCTCAAATGAGCGCACAATAAATAAATGAAATACAGCATGCTTAGGCGCATCGACACAAACAGGCTAATGAATCATGTTTGAGTAGGCTCCCGGAGGGAGACGGAGAAAATAGTGCGCTTGGATGCAGGTATGGGACCTGTTACACCAGGCTAAAATATCTAGACAATATTAATATGAAAACATTAATTTGGAGAATTATGATTAAAATATATATGTTAGCAATATCACTGGCAACTCATTGATTTGGCAGCACCCTCATTACGAAACAATATCAACACGTAGGCTAGTTTATAGTCTACAATCTGAAATTAACATAGGAGCCATACCATCTTTTATTTTTTCACATGCTATCACAATTAATTATTCAGTATCCTTGAGTCAATATCCTGCCGTTTAACACAAGCAAACTGTCAAGGAAGTCATAGCCTACCGAAGTGACCTGCTCAATTATGATGGCTTATTGAACGAAAATCTAAGGTAGCATTATTCATGACAACTATGGTTGATCAAGGGAAGCTCATTTTATAAACTTTCAACAACTTATTGCGACTCAGATATTAGTGGTCAAAGTTGGAATGACAAATGAAATATGACATTTAAAGCAATCAAATATAAAAAAGAGTCACTCACCCGGGCATATTTTGAGGAATAGGGGTCTTCAAAAAGGGCCCACATTCTGGGCCGCCAGATTTCCCACCAAGTCTTTTTCCTTCCGTCCTCATGCAAGCACAGTCTTTTCATGTCCCCATCTGCGCCTCCTGGTAGCGCTGGGTCGTCTTCTGGCAACTCCGGTTCGGGATTCTCAAAGCTGTCCAACGCCTCCTCTGCGTCCCTGTGCTGCCGGTAATTCATCCAGCAACAAGCTTCCACGTCCGTCTCATCGATGCCCCAGAATGCCAGCTCCTCTTCGAACAGCGGACCGCACACATCGTTCGGACAGTGCAACTTCCCTGTGCGGTAATAGTTGAGGATGAATGAAAAGACGGAAGGGTGGCGATCGAAGAAGAACTCGTCGTTTTTGTGGTCGTAATCGAAGTTGGTAAAGGCGTCCGGTTCGGTAAGCCAAGATAAGCGAGTACCGGGCAACGTTTTTAGGGTGCTTCGATAGGTTTCATGCCGCACCCCCCCGCAGTTTATCACGATTTTCTCGCTTTCCGACGGACAAGTCATGTCTGCAGTGTAACATGCTTTGTTGGACGACTTGTTCCCACCTTTGCGCCCTTTGAAAGAGGAGACGCAGACCGAACTGAGCATAGAAGAACTGGGGGAGGGAGAGGAGGCGAGAAAACGGAGGGAGGAGGAGGGAGGAGGAGTCTGCGGGGAGAGAAAGGGAAATCATTTTAGCAAAAAGGAAAGGTATCTATGTATAAAATATGAACATTAGTAATAGTAATAGTCTACAGTTATGCTATAATTCCTCATGTAATGTGCATAGAGTGTAGTAAATGACCTTGCAGCAGGTGCATTTGGCTATAAGAAAGATTTCAATAGATAAAACAGGTTGCCTGTAAAGTTGGTTTATCAAGGCTGTTCAGATAAGTAGTATTCACCAGAAGACAGTAGAGATGTAGGCCTAGTTTGTATTCAGTCACTAACATACAGTAATACATGAGTGAAATGCGGGGAATGTCACATGTTTGATTCAACATTGATGATACTGTTGTTGTTGTTGTTTTTTAAACACTTAAAGTGGTAGGCTGAAATATGAGAATAATAAGATGAGTTTAAAGCAAGGCAAAAACGGAGACTACGGGACTACTGCTTGAACATTAAAAATACATGTTGTGTTATGAATGTGCTATAAGCAAAATATCTTCCATTTCATATTTCAGCGCCTAGTATCACACTTATTCGACTGGTTCCATTTTGTGCCTCATGCTGCTGTTACTGTAAGATTATGTGCACTGTACATGATACCAAAATGATTCTAATTTCTCCCAATTCATTGATATAGTATCTCTAATTAGGCCACTAAAGACACACACAGAGCCAACCCCGTACCCTCCACTGCTATCTGCTTGCCTCGGTACCCAATAGCAGTGAGAGAGAGGAGAGGGAGGGAGCGTGTGTGTGTGTGTGTCACTGGGGAGAGAGAGAGGGAGAGCATCCAAGGAGGAATGAGAACCAGAGAAAGAGTGAAAGCGAGAGAGAGAGAGAGAAATTGAAGGAGGTATAACGTAACAAATCAGGGATACGTCTCGCTCCTTCGCTTCTCCTTTCTCTCCTCCCTAATGCTTTTCTGACGTTAGGTGACACAGCATTCAATACGTGCGTGTGTGTGTTAATTGCTTCCCAGGAGTGCAGTGTCCATACTAATGTTAGATCGACTCAATCAGTCTGCTACAGGCACCATGCTTCCCTCTAGCCCTCTACTGCTTTTACATTCAACTGAAGTGTGGCTATGTCATGCTGTTCCATAGTTTCTTATGCATTGTATGTGTCTGTGTGTGTGTACGTGTGTGTCCGTGTGTGTACGTGTGTCTGTGTCTGTGTCTGTGTCTGTGTCTGTGTCTGTGTCTGTGTCTGTGTGTGTGTCTGTGTCTGTGTCTGTGTGTGTGTGTGTGTGTGTCTGTGTGTGTGTGTGTGTGTGTGTGTGTGTGTGTGTGTGTGTGTGTGTGTGTGTGTGTGTGTGTGTGTGTGTGTGTGTGTGTGTGTGTAAGAGAGAGGGGGAGAGAGAAAGATAGAGAGGAGTGGGGAGTGAGAGACAGATCAGAAATCAGCTTTTTAATGGAGTGATCTGAAAGGACAGAAATAATCTAGATCGGGAAAAACAAGTGATGCTCAACAAATACCTGAGGACGGGAAAGCTAGAGGGAATGGAAGAGAGAGAGAGAGAGAGAGAGAGAGAGAGAGAGAGAGAGAGAGAGAGAGAGGAGAGAGAGAGAGAGAGATTGAGAGGGGAGAGAGAGAGAGAGGGGGGGGGGGTAGGGAGAGAGAGATGTGATGAGAGCAGGAGAGAGAGAGAGAGAGAGAGATAAAGCCAGAGAGAGACAGAGAAAGATAGATTGAGAGGCAGGGAGAGAGGGAGAGAGAGACAGAGGGAGAGCGGGAGAGACAGACAGCGAGAGAGAGAGAGAGGGAATGAGAGCCAGGCAGAGGGAGAGAGAGACAGCGAGGAGAGAGAGAGAGAGAGATGAGTAGAGAGAGAGCATGAGAGAGAGAGAGAGAGAGAGAGAGAGAGAGAGAGCAGAGAGATGAGGGATGGAGCCAGGCAGAGGGAGAGAGAGACAGCGAGAGAGAGAGAGAGAGAGAGAGAGGATGAGACCCAGTCAGAGGGAGAGAGAGAGAGAGAGGATGAGAGCCAGGCAGAGAGAGAGAGTGCGCTATAAAAGTGAATGAATTCCACTGCAGTAAAAAGCCAGAATTATTTGCTTTCTCTCCTTCCCCTCGCTAGGTCAGCACGTCCCCATTGCAGTGTATTGTCAGTGTAGAGTCCTTTTGCTTCTGAAAAGGAGGCGTTCTTCAATGCAAAACCTCTGCATACTGTGTACCGTAAGTATGTTGTTTACCTCCTTTTCTATTCTATTGGAATACGCCCCTTTCCTCCCCCTCTACCTCGTCCTACCCCCTCTCCAGCGCTCTCTCAATCTCTAGCCCTCCCTTCCCCTCTCTTGTGCTCTCTCTCTCTCCCTTGTTAACTCGATCTCATATTCCGCATAAGGGGCTCACATTTCATTCAAGGGGAATCTTGACTTCAGTTTCCTCCTCCTCTCACACTCTCTCTTTCCTTTCTCAGTGTCCCTCTCTCATCCCATCTCTGCACGCTTCATCTCTTTTCCTTATTTTTTACTGCATTTTACTTGAGCGTTCTCGTTCTTCCTCACTCTTACTTTCCTTCCCCCCTTTTTTACAAGTGTCCCCTCATTTTGTTATTTCTTTCTCAAAGTAAGCTTCTCTCACTTTGCTCTTTAATATTTTATCACCTGTTCGTTTTTAGACTTTTTCTCAAACCATTTACATTTAGCTTAATGCATTTTCTTCTCTTCAACAACATTGTCAATGTCTTGTCTTCAGCATGTATGTATACTTTCTCAACCGCACAAACAACTTTTAAGACATTTCCAAAGTGCATCTTTAACTTGGAACATATTTTCAATACTCTTTTCTATTTGGACTGTTTTCTGCTAATTTCTTTCTAGTTTTGTGTTTTGTATGAAACATTATCTATATATGAAGATTCCAGAATTCAAGAGAGCCTCCACTCAGGTAAGGTTTACCAACTATCAGAGGCTGCTGCATGGGATGGACTGGCGTCATATGGGACAGAGATAAGCACAGGTCTGAGAACAGTACTTAGAGGGATTTGAGACAGACAGGACATTATATACTTAAGGGACACTGATTTGGGGACAGTTGATGTATGTATACATCACATAACTCTAATAATAAGTAGTAGTAGAGTAATAAAGTAACAGAGTAGGTAAGACAGAATTCCAGTTCCTTAGTCTTGACTGCCCAAGTAAAACTTGGCAGTAGTCTTCACTGCAGTACTCCTGATATTGCTTGCTCAACAAAAAATGCCAGGAGCACTTTGAATTTAGGAACACTGCAATATCATATCAGTGTTTGTTTGTTTTGTTTACTGCATGTCTTGCAGTTGGAAATGAACTATTTCAAATGACGATGTAAAGATAAAGGAGAGTTGAAGCAAAAAAGAAAGAGAAATGAAATAACTTGAAATAGCTTATTTTGACAAATGAGCCTGAAAAGAAACCCAGTAATGAGTTCTAACCAATGGTCAGCTTAGAACTGAGGAAGATTCCAGCAGAGAAGCGCTTGTATTGTTAAGTAAGCGATCAGATGTCAGCACCATGGACAGCAGCACTGCATGGGATGGGATAGAGTCTCTACTGCACCCACAGGGGGGGAAATAGAGAATCTTAAACTATCTGCATGGAATAGATAGACCCATGTATTGTTGAGGGATCGCATTTTAGCACCATGGACAGCAGACACTGCTGTTTTCCTATGCATGGGACGGGATAGGGGTTCTAGTTGACTCTAGTGCACCCAAAGTCCAAGGGGGGAAACAACATTTTTTTAAACTATCTGCATAGATAGACCAATGTGTTGTTGAGGGATACAATTTCAGCACCATGGACAGCAGACACTTCTGTTTTCCTATGCATGGGACGGAATAGTGGCTCTACTGCACCCAAACCCCAAGGTAGGGAGAGTATAAATCTTGAACTATCTGCGTAGTCCAAGGTATTATTGAGAGATCACATTTCAGCACCATGGACAGCGGACACTGCTGTTTCCTACGCATGGGATCGGATAGGGACTCTACTCAACTATAGTACACCCAAAGTCCAAGGGGGGAATAAAGAATCTTGAACTATCTGCATAGAGCAATGATTACTTTTTAAATCCCTATTCCTCAAAATGCAGTAACATTTTTTTTACTTTATGTAGAGTTGGGGTTTATTTGGTTACTATTTGGTCATAATTAATAGCCTACATGAACAACAGCAAGTATTCAACATTGCTAAATGCTAAACCCTATCCAGCCAATATGTTTTCTCCGCAATAGAACCATATAGGGAGAATATATTGCTTTTAGCATTGTAATTAAAGTAATGTAACCATTCAAGAGAATGAATGACAGAATAGAATGCAACTTTACTAGAATATCAATAAACCCGTCCTGTGGAAGTGAGTACCTACTTTTAAACATTATAAGTACTTGAGATAATTGCTCAATGCTCATTTTCAAAGGAACATGTATATACTAGGTCTGGGCTTAGTGTTAACAAGATAATTGGGTGCCTTTGGGTGAGTTTCGTCTCAAGATGCTGGCCAGTGTTTGGAGCGCAGTATTGAAGTAGCTACGCACATCTCAACTGCTAAAACAAGGGGGCTATGGGGAGGAAGGAAAGAGCGCGTTAAGGTGTAAAATGGAGGAAGAAGAACTTGTGTTTGGATGGGGAGAGAAAAGCAAGGGAGAGAGAAGGACAGACAACAAAATTGAGAGAAAGAGTGATACAGATGAAAGTGATCAAGTGTTAAGCGAAGGAGGAACCGTACCCCCTCTTTCTCTCTCTCAGAGCTATACCCGCCCTGACCACCATGTCCTGCGCTCCACAGCTACTGCTCCCCTTCACAAACGCACACACACACACACACACAGGCTCACCTGGCTGTGTGTGAGCGCTGCATACAAAAACAATCCAAAATATTACGAAAACAATTGAAGGGAAAAACACTGCTTAATCATAATGAACTTGGAATGAGAGAGAAGGGGAGGTCAACCATAAGGTA